TCCCCTTAGAGTTGTAGGTGATCCTAGGTGAGGAGCCACACCTGGTTATTGTGGGTAGGGGAGAGGGAGGGGACACTGAGCCAAGGTGACATGGCCCCCTGGCTATCTCACAGTTGTAACCAGACCCTCCTTGGCTCAGCCGCTCTCAGCCCCCCTCCTCCCCTCCCCTGACCTGCATCAGGGTCTGATGTACACGGTGGCCACCTTCAGAGAGCACAAAGATAAATCAAGAAGGCTAACTTCCTGGAAGACCTACAGGAGCACGTTTTTATTGTGTTCGAAGGCTTCTTTATCAGCATCACCTAATGACATTTATTAATCACCCGGCTGGGCTGCTGGTGCACAGGATGACACATGGGGATTTCATAATAGATTTCTGATCCTTTGGTAGGGCGGCCCCTCAAATTTGGAGTCATATCAAAGCAAACTAAATTCCAAACTTTACATTTGTGACCCCAGCCTCTTCCATCATAGGAATCCTTTTCTAAACCACTTTCTGAGAGTAAATAGTTGCTCTATGACATTTTCCCTCTTTTAAATCTGAGTTTAATAGAGGAAATATTACCATGGTAATAGATTTCATTTTTCTTAATAGGTATTTCTTTTCTAGTGCTTGTCCTTCAAGATAGCACTGCAGTGTGTGTTTTGTCTGTTATTGCAAGCTGTATAAACAGTTAATTACTTGTAACTTAATTTGAATATTACACAGAACATTTGTCATAGAAGATATAAAATAAGATCCAGGCAGAAGAAAGTTAACTTGTGCTTCCTCTAAAGCAGGAAGAACAAAGAACAGCACTTGCTGGGGGGAAGAGACAGATATTGAAAACCAAATAAGTTTAGCTAATCAGATTTTCAGGTAGTGGGGAACAGTACTCGATGCACAGGCAAAGTTTGCTTTGTGCTTCTTGTAAACTCAATTCATAGAGTGCTCTTCCTTCCTCTGTGGCTTGCAGTCTTCTCGTTCTGTCTTGTTCCTCACCACGGTTTTTCCTGTCCTCCCTTAGTGAAAGCTCCAGTGTTGACACTAGGTCTGACCTGGGACATGGCTCCATCTTCGTTTCCACAGCTGTGTCCATCTTCCTGCTTCTGTCCCCAGCTCTGTGAGGCCTACGCTCTTGTGAGATGCTGAGTGAGCTCGTCCAGAGACCAGCCCTCTGAGGGGTATCTTAAAAAAAGAAAAAATACAAACAATTTTTCTTCGTGATGATCGGTTAGCAATCCAGGGTTGCCATGATTTCTCATAAGTGATGGAGACCACCAGTAGCTGGCACACTGCTAGGGTAGTCAACCCCTCCAGAAAAGCTGCAATTCAAAAATCAGTTGATGAGATTACTGCTTAACAAAAACATTTGAGGGATGTGGTTAGGATCATTTTAGCAAGTGGTGATGACACACAGTCTCAGGTCTCCAGGGGCACTGTTCCTGCTTGACAGCATGAGCTGCCAGTTTCCTCGGTGGCTGGACTGGGAAAGAAACTTGGGAAAAGAGCAGCAGCAGTGCCTGAACCGCCCTCTCCTTTCGGTGACTCACCAGGCTGTTCATAAAAGGAGTTTCTGTGGCCCAACTACGTGAGTGATGAGCAAAGGCAAGGAATTTCTCCCTCCACGTTAAGATTAAGTGTTAGCGGTTCCTTAAATGAAAGAAGCAATTTTTTATAACTTGCAAAGCTTCTCCCTCATTCTTTAGGGAATTTCCTATGTTAATTTATGCAGTGTTAAATTTATGCAGTGTTGAAATTCAGCCCACAGCAGCTACTTACAGAACCAATACAGAGATTATAGGAGAACCTCTCAGGTGGGAGCTGAACACTGCAGACCCCACCAGGCCGAGGGATCCCTCCAGCCAATAGCCCTGGGGTCTGGGTTGAGCAGGTTTTGTTGCATAACTGTGATGGGGTAATAACACAGAATATTTTACAGATGTATTCATCTTTTAAAAATTCTACTTGTCGTTGTATTTGTTAATGTCTCTGACAGAAGTGTTAGGCGGTTTTGTACCACCTCTGCCACCCTTCAGTGGCAGCTGAGTGCAGTTAGACAGCGTGTTCATAGATCAGCCCTGGAGCTTTCCTGTGGTCCTGCATGTCTGCGAGGAGTCACCACGAATCAGCTGAGCCACTGTGCTGTCCTGGAGGATTAGAATTTTAATACATGTAACAGGGTATTATGTGGATATGGTTAGATATAGTTACTAAAACATTATTTCTCTGTGTTTGACATTTGTTCACATGTACTCTAATAGTGTTTTTATGCTAGACTGCCATGCTGATCCTCAAACCAGCCAAGGCCCATCTTGTCTTTCTCAAAGAGAGTCTAACATTCTTAGCATCACCTGATGTGGTTGAAAAATTACCCATCTATATTCAGTTGAGGTTGCAGGGAGAAGAATAGTGAAAAGGATCTCTAGACTCTTGAAAAACACTTTAACTGTTGCTTTAATTATGTTTGGTAGCTGCAGAGGATTTTGCAATATTTGAAAAGAGAGACTTCGTTACGTGTCTTTTTAACCATAAACCCTAGATTGTAGGCACAGCCATGTACTCCTGACCAGGCAGATAACAGCTTAAAGTTCCCACCAGTGTGCTGAAGAATGTAGTGACTCCATAACCCCCAAAATGCAAAATGACAAAGCGGTATCACTTACAAAGGGATCACTTTCTTCAGTAACTAAATGCCCTGAGGTAGGCTCAGTGTAGCTTTATACTGGCTTCCATTTTGAATTTAAGAAAGAAAGTTGTAGGATGTTGTCTGTATACCTGGAATTTACAGAGCTTCCTGCCCATATAATTGGAGAGACTTTCCCACAGATCAAGTCGCAGGGGGTGAGGACAGCTGAGATTGCCAGGCTGTGTCTGACTCTTATGTTGTAGATGCTCAACGTGTGATTTTCCCAGTAAATGCATAGCTCGTGTGAATGACTGGTGTGCGAGATGCCCCACCTGCCAGCGTGGTTCTACAGGCAACTCTCTGTTGAAAACAGTCTCCTTCACCTACTTTGTCCTGTTTTCTCTAGACGATCTAGTTTTTCTAATTTACTTCATATTTGACTGAATCATTTTCTGACCACCTCTGGGTGTGTTACCACTGACCTAGTTCTCCTGCCTTAATACTTTTCCTTCTTTTGTCCCCTGTGGACATGGTCTCCTTAGAAACCTATGGTCACAGACACGGGTTAGGATAATCTGTTCAGCCTTTGCTCCTATGACCCAACACTTCCACTCTTTCTTTCTGCCCCCTTTATTCCGGTCTTTTTATCTTTGACCTAAATCTTCTGTCTAGAGACCTTTGACCTTTCTTTCCAAGCGTACAACCTCCTTCTAGATATTTCTCTCTGAGATGTCTCATCCAAAATCATCTCACAATCCCAGAATGTAAGTCATCGTCCTCATTCCCAAGTTGGCCCCTTCCTCTGACTCCCCAGTTTCTCTCAGAGACTCCACCACTTCCTGTCACTGGGGACCCTCCCGTGCCTCGGAACTCACCATCTCTCTTTTTCTTCCCGTGTCTTTTTGTGGCTCTATCTTTTTTTTCTTTCACTCTTGCCTGGTTTCTAATCTGCCTCCTCACTGGTCTTCCTGCCTCCAGACTGTCCTCTGTTGGGTCCGTCATGCCAAGGATGTCGGGTTAACCTTCCTAAATGTCTTTCTCCTATTTAAAAGCATTTGTTGGGTTCCCACGTTTTGTCAGTGGCCAGCAGGAAGCGTCTCAGTCTGCCATCTATTCCGGGTGGTCTTTACACGCTTTATCTCCGTAGATCCTGAGCATACGCCCTTTCTTCCAGGGGGGCCTCTCCTCAGTGTTCCGTATATATTGGGCTTGTTCCTACCTCTGAATCTTTCACCCTAGCAACAGTCTTACCCGCTGTGTGAGGCAGAACCACTCGTCTTTTCAACTGTTACTTTCTCTGGAGGGGTACACGAGAAACTGGGAAATGGAAGGAAGGAAAAAAATTACTTATTACCAGATACATTTTTGCTCCTTTTGAGATTTATACTGTGTTTATTCCAATAAAAAAAATTTTTTTAGCATTTATTTAGCAAATAAATAAAAAGTGCAAACTGTTGCCCTGTGTAGTTCCTTAATTTTCTTGGGTGTCTGTGTCAGTTTCCCCAAAGCATTTAACTGAGTGCAGCGAGTACCTAGGAGGAGCTCGGTTAGGAGGTGGGTGCGTGGGTGGCTGGAAGGGTGACGGTTGGCCAGAGGAAGGCGTGCACAGATGGGCTAGAGGCAACCTTGAGACTCACCCAGCCTCTTCTGAGTAACTTCAAAACCAACAGGGAAAGTATTACTTTTTTCTTCTTAAAGTTCTCTAAAAATGGAGGCAGTGTACTCCCTGTTCCGGCTGGTTATAGAGTTTAATCTGATAGTTAAGAATTGTACTACCCCCCCCACAATAAACAACTAAATAGAATGTAGAGATCATTTCTGCAATTTGGGAATAGGTACTTGTGTGTGCAGCTCTGCCCAGCCACGAAAGCACGTGAACATCGGCATCCTGCCTGGAGGGATCGGGAGTCTCTGGGAGAGATTCTTGTGTTCTTTTCAGTTGAGAGATTCCTTCTCAGAGCCCTGGGGGTTACGAGTTGATCCCCCAGCTCGCACACGCACACAAACACACACACACTCATACTCACTCTCTCTCTCTCTCTCTCTCTCTCTCTCTCTCTCTCTCCCCCCCTCTCTAACTATAACTAGGCAGTAGCTTTCCCCCAGTCACTGTGGCCACCGGCAATGTTCCCCACATTTCCAAATGCTCCTGGTGAGAAGACGGCACACAACTGCCACCCTTCCCCCCTCACCAGGCCGTGTTCATCTGTAGGGTCTCAGTGGTGGTGGTGAAAGGTAGCAATATTTTGGGAGGAGGAAGCGTATGCCTTGTTTTATGTGTTTTTGAAGTAGATATTTGAAATGAAATACAACTTGTACTAAATGGTTACTGCATTTTTTTTACCCCCTCTCCTTCTGATGGTAAAACTTATACTTTCATTTCTCTTACAGATCACGCTTGAGAAGGGAGGATAAAAACTCTGAGAACACAGACAACACCTTCAACGTTAATTCCAGAGGTGGAATGTTTTTTTTCCTAGTAAGATAATAACCCATTTAAAGAGAAGACCACTAAAGAGAAGACCACTAAAGAGAAGCACTGAAGAACAGATTTGACAGCATCATGTCACATTTTGATTAGCAACAATTTGAAAAGCCAAGGCCTAGGTCAGGGATCAGTCATCAAAGGACACCCTTCAGTATTATAAATCCCCTTCATGATGATTAAAAGAGAAAGGCAGCCCTCTCCACCTTTTTGTGCTTTCTGTTCTACTTCTACTGACCATAAAGCGTTGCCATTCTAACCAAGCCCTGTCGTTTGGTGAACCTCCGCTCTAACAGAGCGGGGTGGGCTGCTGAGTTAATTGGCGTGGAGGGAGAGGACAGCCCAAAACACACGGATCTTGGGGCAGTAACGCTGGGTAGAATTGTCTAGGCTGTGGCATGTTGGTTTTCTCTCTTTTTCTTTTCTCCTTTGATTATGTAAGAGCTATTTCATTTTAACTTATTGTGGTGATCATGCAAGTAAGAAGACAAAAGGAGAGAAAATGTACCTCTTTTACTGGAATAATGTTTATGATTACAAGCGAAATAAGGTATTTTTATCAATATAAAGGCAACCTTGGCTTATTCAACCTCTATCGTGAATGCTGACATCTTCACTTCACTCCCTATCAATAATAAATATATTTTCTGACAAAGACTGGCATTGTGCCTCAGAGCCTCACACATTCATTCCTGTGGCTGGGTTAGATGGTTATGCTTATGGGAATTGAGTTGATTTATATTGTTAATAATTTGCATTTGTGCTGTACCTTTCCTCTAAAAGGCTCCTAAGCACTTCACAGAGCCTCAGACAGGCAAGTGATGGTTATAACTGCCTCTCAGGTAGACAGAATTCTGGAAGATCTTTACAAATTGCATGAACCTTTCTTTCTTGGGGATGACTTAAGTCATCGTGCCTGGGGCGAGAACTAGATTAGATAACCTTGGTTAGGACCTTCTGACCCTGCAATACTATGAAAATGTTAAAAAAAAAAAAAAAAATCCACCTTTAGAGTTTTTCCTCTTTCCACTTTCATCAAAACTTCCTGATTATAACTCTCCCTTTTCTACCAGGATTGGTCTTCAACCCTGCAGCTGAGTGAGTTGGAAACAAATATGCACACTGAAGCTAAATGGGAAAGTTCTTTGGGGAGCTAGGGGGAGGAGAAAATACCAGTGTCTTCTAAATTTCTTTTGCCGTGTAGAATTTTTATTTTGTTACACGGATGAATTTAGCAAAATGATTGAGAATACAGGCTCTGGAGGAAGGTGCATCTGTGTTCAGATTCTGTCTCTGCTATGGAAGCTAAGTCCCCCAGCCGCACGCTAAGCCTCCATTTCTTCAACGGTCAAAAGGGGGCGAGTGAAAGAACCTAGTTTTTGGGCTTATGGTGAAGAATCAACATGCATTCCACATACATTCTGTCAGAGCCAGTAAATGTTGTTTTGTGTGATTAGTCAATAAACTAGTATTTGGAGCTAGGGGCATAGCAAGTGTCCACATGCCCAAATACCTTTTATTTAGAGGAAGTCAGGATGAACTTGTGAACTTCATCCAACTTCCTGTTTGCCTCCATCTGAGTGACACTTGGGACACACCTGTACACCTGATGTCGATTCTGAGTGGCACCGGAGACTCTCCTACCACTGAGAGAGAGACTCTGTGGTTACTGTTTCATGAAGGTTTTTTGTTTTGGAGTAGTTTGGGGGATTTGTTTTGGGGATGCAAAATAAGTTGAGTTCATTTGAGTGTAAATGAAGTCATTACTGGTAACTTGAGGAGCAGCACATTTTGGTGCTGTCAGGGTGACATCCAGGTAACTGCCTGCGAGAAATAATAGCACAAAAACAAATGTTTACATGGTGACTTGCTATAGTGTTTGCAAATTAGCTAACTCACAAATCCCCTCCTATACTGGTTTGTTTTGCAATTTAGAGCCAAGAACTTGGCACGTCCCAGACTGCCAGTCTTGCTGCCAGCAGAGAAATGCAACACTGGAGTCAGGCCTCTGAAGCTGGTGGAATCCATGGGGAGGGAGGGAGGGTCAGTTCATCAGGTTGCCTCTCTCATTCTGATAAATGTGATTAGGCAGAACACACCTTGAACCACAGTAGTTTGGCTCATGAAGCCAAGAAGAATAAAGTGTCTTGAACGCTGGTCAGAGGGTATCACACTAAACAAATGTCCGATGAACTTACAGAAGACAGGTGGATTGAACCAGCATAAAGTCCTTTCTTTGAGAAGCCAATAACTTATCACAGAAAATTTGCCAGCATATGATCATTTAAAAAATTACTATTTTTTAACTCTCTGTCACCCAGGCTAGAGTGCAGGGGCACCATCTAGCTCACCGCAACCTGCTCCTGGGCTCAAGTGATCCTCCTGCCTCAGCCTCCCAAGTAGCGGGGACTACAAGTGCGCACCACCACACCTGGCTAATTTTTCTATTTTTTGTAGAGTTAGGGTCTCATTATGTTGCCCAACCTGGTTGAAACTCCTGGCCTCAAGCGGTCCTCCCCTCTTGGTCCCCCAGAGTGCCGGGATGACAGACGTGAGCCACCACGCCTGGGCAAAAAATTATTGATGAATCATGGTTAGTAGTAAGCATGTACTGCTGAAAAGCCAGGTGTCTGTGGACAGCTGGTCAACCCACGAGTCTCCTGTCTATAACAGTTTTAAGCAATATTTGGCTTAGAACTGAACGAGCAGCCACATGTTCTCAGCTTCTCTGGCTTAGAAATTGAGAACGTGTGGTTCTTCACTTGATATCCTCCAGCCCACAGGTACAATTGCCTTCGCCAGAAACCCACATTTCGGTGAGCTGTAGGAGCTGACCCTTTCAAGATTTAAGAATTACAGCAACAAAATTTCAGTTAGCTAAGAGGAGTAAGTTCAGAGATCTGTTGTACAAACGTGGTGACTGTAGTTAAAGACAATATATTCTTGGAAAACTTTTTAAAAGAAGAATTAGAGCAATTGAACAATTGAAAGGGCAGCAGTCAAAGCAAGTGGACTGAGAAATAGGAGTCTGTTTTGAGTTAATCTTCTTGAAAAGCTAATATTTTGAATGAATGAGTTGATAGTCATTCATACGCCCTCACTGCCTCCTCCTGTCTTCCTCCCCCAAGTTTTCCTCTCTGTCTCTGCTTCCTCCTCTCTATCTGCCATCTCATTGCCTCCTCTGGCTTCTTTTTTGTGTTCAAGCTTTTCTCACCCCCCAGCCTGTCAGGGCCCCCTTTTGAGAGGCAGGTAAAGGGGTGGACAGGGCATCCTGGGCGCTTGCCCGGCTCTGCCGCTGTTGCGTGGGGTAAGTCTCCTCCCTCCAGTTCCTCACTGCAGAGCGGCCGCTCTGGGTCCTTGTCATTATAAGAAATGCTTTTTGATACATCCTTCCTTTTCTTCTCAAGCCTCCTACATCTGTAGTCATCCATTTAGTACTTCTTATCATTTAGTAATTTCTTATGTTTGCAGTTCTTAATTTATAAACCAAGAAAATGGATTTAATTCTCTGAATTAAAGGAAAACTATATTTGTATTTAGTTCTCTGTGCCCTCGATTGTACTTTTCCTGTAGCTTATGGTCTGATAAGATTTTTAAGAATTGGTTTTCCATCAGTGCCCGAAGGGATTTACTCCACGGGCAGACTGTATCTAGTCTAAAAAGCCACCCTGGGACACACGGCCCATTTGTGCAGGTGAGACACACCGTCAAAGCCCTCCCAGAGTGGAAGACAGGAGTGCGGATGCTCCAGTACCAGCGCCAGCCGGAGAAGAGCACGTGTGCTGGTTAACAGAACCAGGTTCGTTTTAAAATTGTGTTACAGACATCGTTTTAGCCGCTTCATCCTCTGGGCCTTTAAAAGAAAGCGAAATACCAGAGGTTTCAGTGTTCACTCTCTCTCCTTCCTTTGACCCACTTGTTTTGGGGGTGCCAGCGATGACTGGAGCAACGGGAAGGGAAACAGGAGGGGATGAGGAACCCCCGACTGTCACAGAACGGAGCCCTGGCTCCTGGTAATCGTTGTGCTCATAGAGGGGTAGCGTTTTCCCAGAAGCTCCTTTTCACCCTCTATGATACACGAAAAGTCATGTTTAATTATTCCAATCTAGACGAGCCAGAGCTGTCTCCATTTTACCGTCATCCCCGGCCTGCACATGACCCACGGGGATGGGGTAGTCCGATTTCTCAGGTTCGATGACTTTGAAGGCCTCCCTGGGGTACCGAGGAGCCTGCCCCCACCCCATCTCCCTTGGGGAGCCCCGCGCCTCCTGCTCTCTGGCGCTCCTTTCCCCGTGGTGTTGGATGGGATTGAAACACATTGAAGACAAAGTAGATTTGTACCCCTGTACCCAGGGTGAGAGTCACCTCACTCATCTGCCGAGGTCCCTCATGCTAGGAATTTTGGCCAAAGCACCAGACACCTCCGGAACTTTCAGTTCCATTACCTTCCAAAGCCCGGAGTCGTTGGATCTTGGGTTTGAGAGAAAAATGGCCAACCACCCAGTTCATTCTTCTACCTCCAGGCTGATGTGGAATGAAGATGATGAGATAAACTATGTTTCATATTGTGCTATCTGTCCTCTGGTACCTCCAGCCTCAATATTGCCGGCAGAGCCCCTAAAAAAAGTTGAATTGCTTTAGTTTAGGGGAAAAAACAAAAATCATCCAAATCAAAGATGTTTCTACTTTTTCTGCCCCTCCAAACAGACCCTTGGTCTTCTCTAGACCATGGTTATAATTCAGGGGATAATCCAGTGTTCAATCTACTTAGGATTCAGAAAATATGGTCACTATATTTATGCTTTTCATTTAAGGAAGTTGGAAATTGAAACTGAAGTTCAGTCCTTGAAATTCCCTCAAACCAAGTCAACTCTAAATGGAAAACAGCTATGCTTCAGTTTAATGGAGTGCTTCAAACCTCTTGCAGTGGGTTTGATTAGGCAAGGCCTCCATACACTTCAAAGATTTTCCCGTGCTAAAAAGCTTGACTTGCCTTGTGCCCCTCCCCACAGATAGTCTCTGCTTCTCCTGGGAGGAGCCTTACTGGGCTGTGGTTATGTCACTGTGGAGAGAGCTGTATGCTTTGAATATAACCCTGCCTTGCAGGTAAGTGACATTTCCATAATGGCTTTTAAATGCAAACGTGGAAGCCAGAAGTCAGTGGTCCTTGCAAGGTACCACTCTGCTCTGGCTGCGCGCCTTTCCTTCCCAGACCTTCCCAGCACAGGCAGCAGCCTGAGTGGTCTGTATTTGGGTGGCCTCCTGCAAAGCCCTGTTCCCTGTCAGGTCCACACAGAGGCAGCCCGCTGGCCGTCAGTGCCGCCTCTCTCTCTGCCACTCCCTGCGAATATATAAAATCGGGGTCGGGGCCAGATGACTGGAGCCAACCGCCTATTACCTGCTGCCTGTGCAGTCCAAGGAACAAGGGAAAAACCATTTTCTTTATTCCATAGCGACAGGTCGTGTTTCTCAGTCAGCATCAAACCAGCAAAGCAATGCCAACCTGCACGTTGTAGCTTGGCTTTGCATCTCCCCGAGGAAATGAGCACCCCAGTCTCAGAAGCATGACCACAAAGTCGTTGAAAGTCTTATTCAACCTCGACTTGAAGTGGCTTTGTGGTTTCTTTCCAGCTCGGAAGGCAGGCTGCAGAGCAAGAGCT